GAAGTGGCAGGAACTTCAAAGGAAGTTCCAAAAGTACAAAACCCAGGAGAAGACGTTGAACTCTGTTGCTTTAAGGGGCCATGATGAGCGGTTTGCGCTATTTCTTGTACCAAATGATAGCCGGTTCGCCGAGATTAAGAAGTGCCGGTAGGGGCCTTATTGACAAGGCTGGACTCTGTGGTGCTGTTGACTCTACTGCTTCTCCGCCAGATATTCGTAAGGTGTAGGACAGTCTAGGAAAATTTAGCGCCCCTAGGAGCTTCGCTATCTTACGTAAACAACACTTGGACCTGGGTCTTGCACAGACATGCCGCACAGATCCGCTTTTCGGACTCCGATATGGTTCGGATGCATTGCCGACAAATCCTATGCGAGTCCGCGGAAAGAGCTGTCATATCGTAGACTCCTGTGAGGTGCGCTAACTCGAGAAGGTACCTAACTTCCCGAGAACTCAATCTAAAATGCACTGGCCCACACTCTCAATATAAATGAGAAGGGGACGCTCGATTAAAGGAAAACGCAAAATACATGCCAAAAGTAATATTATGTTAGTTAAAAAATATTATTATTTAAAAAATGCTGTAGTGGCCGAAGACGCGGAAATTCCTGACAGTTAAGGGAATTAAATTTTAGAAGTAAACAATGGCTGCCTATGCAAAGAAGCGGGTAAGTGAAACGACACAAACATTCACACCTTCGAAGAAGTGTTTAAGATGCTCCTTGAACTAAATAGCTTTAGCAAACAGCCAATTGTGTGAAATTTATCGACGTTTTCGAAAACTCGCATGAGATGCCCAAGATAATTATGACCTTAATTTCATTTTTCGGGATACGGTTGACTGCGACAAACACGGTTTCATTTTTTTCTCACGGTTATTGACGCCACAGAAAGTTTTATTTTTCGTAAGGTCTCACCTCGGCAGCCCGATCAGTGATCGCGAAATTTGAATATTAATGGCAGATGTATTCGCATGCACACCTTTGTGTAGCAGGAGAGTTTGCTCTCGTAAAAGTCTTGTACGTTTTTTGGTGACGGAGGCGGCGATTTCCAATGCCCTGAATTGCTTTCTGAAAAAGACAGATTGCGTAGTTTTTTAGCATTAATTTTCTCCCAATAAGAAAACGTTGATTTTTGCTCAAACCTTTCCACCTTTTGAAGCATGATATTCCCGGAGAGAACTTGAAGATGGTTATAGCTGTAAGATTCAATGGCACCATAAATTTCGGGAGGGCTCCTCAGTTACAACCACTCGTTGCATTAAGGTCCACGAATGAGAAAAACACGAAATTGAATATGTACAGAAAGGTCATAGGTCCTAGTCAGATAGAGAAGGAAGGCTAAAACAAAATTGGAGGGGGAAAACAGGGAATTA